GACACGGGTTTAGGAACGCGAAAGGAAATTTCTGGACAGACAGTAAGTGTTTCTTTACCCAGAGGGTAGTTAACGACTAGAAAAGTTGCCCGGAAGGGTGTCTGAGGCCAGGACACGACACAGTCAAAAAGCACAGCTTGACGCTATGATGGGCATACAGTAGGGTGGGTGTTCTGGAAGGATGAGATCAGGCAATAATAATAATAATAATGATTGTAGTTCCTATAATCATCGCTGTAACGAGGACTGTGAATAAGACTATTTAGAAATGGCTTGACAAAATGCCTGGTGAACAAAACATCAACCTCTTGCAGAACGCGGCTCGTTTAGGAAGCTCAAACATACTAAGAAAAGTAACATCCATTCCTATGTAACGTGACAAAGTTATTGGTCTGGCTAAAAAAAAACACACTTAGAAAATAATTCAGCGGAGCAATTTAAACTGTAATAACATTATAGTAATAATAATCCTTGCATTTGATTTAGTGCCTTATCATGCCATTGAGACATTTCAAAGTACTTTGGCAGTCAATGATTAGCTATGATATTAACAATAACAATAACGATCCTTAAGTTTGATATAGTGCATGTCAGGAGGACCATTCAAAGCATTTCACAGGATTTACAGCGGAGTTTAATGATGGAGTCTTCTATAGTCAAATAAACAAATGATGCATGTGCACAGGTGTCCCTCTAGCTGGAGACAAACTCGGCAGCGGCTCAGGGAAGCAGGTTTCTGGAAGAAACAATTTTTTTTTTAAATGCTCGACCGGCGAAATTGAGGCGGGCGGGACTGCAGCGAGCTCCACATGCCAGCGCCAGCAACTGTGTCTTAAGATGCATTCATCTCTCTTAAGTTAAAGCTAAAGCTATTGAACCTCTAATGGGGTAGGAGGGGACAGGCACAATGGAGGTCTGCCTGGGGCGGCTCATTATCCTGAGCGGCTTCCGCGCGTGCAGTCTGTACCAGCGGAGTTTTGGATGGAATGGCCAAGCGGCAGCATGAAACACAAACAGAAAGAGAACGAAATAATCTCCTATCCTGACAGCCCGTGTTCTGCGGCCAGCCATGCACACCCATAAATCCTGACGTTATCATCCACGCATTGAAAATAAAAGAGGCAAACAGACCCCCCAAAACAGGTACTGTACTATCAAGCTAATTCCGTCCCAATTGATCCTAATCCACGCAAATGCTTCTGAGCTGAACCCTGAAATGGGTTGGGACATAGGACACATGTTGTGACCTTGACAATGCCTCAGTCTATTCCCAGCACGTGTTGAGCCTTATTCAGAGCCCAATAATAACCCAAATGTGACTCCATTATTCTGCTCTTCCTTCTGAAGGCTTGAGAAACAATTACATTATCTTGTAATATAATGCTCAGCCCTGGCATCCTTCCAGTGGTAATTGACTCGGCGACAGCGTTTTCACTGTTTGTCTGGGACTGATCTTGTTAAAACCCTCCGGAGGATTTCTTTGTGATGATCATTTACTCTGAGCTGCTTAGAGCCATCACTCACAGCTTTTGGGTGACGTGCTGTGCTCCTGCTCCCTGTGCACTTTGCTCAGGTCACCTCAGAACCAGTCTAAAGGCTTCCAAGGATATTCTGGAGTGAGACTATCAAAGTGACACATGTTAAATGATAAGGTGAACGGGCTGGAAAATGGGAATTAAAAAAAAAGGGTGATTTTTAGTACCTTCTGTACTGAAAATGTCTGTGTTTCTATACAGCAATGTTATATTAATTAAAGAGCGATGGGCCACAGAAGATACCTGAAATGTTATTAACACAATGTAGTGTGCAATACCTATTTCAAATGGCGAAGTGAAGAATGTTTTTGACTGAGCAGAAAAATATCGCCTGTTGGCGTCCGAAGAGGAGTCAGGTTGGTCTGTCGTCAGCAGTGGGTTGGAATACCGAGGGTCTGCCTGGTTTAGCACCACAGAGACCGCCACAGAGGGATGACTTTATTCCAACATAAAATTGCCACATGTCATTTTGGAGCCAGTCCACCCACAAGGAGAATCAATTTACCTTCTCCTCAAGAGGGTATAGTTACTGGCTGGTCATTTGGCATCCAGCAAGCACAGGTTTGAGCCCACTTTATGTGGATAGGAGGTAACAGGAACTTACTGTGAACTTTCTGCAGAAGACAGAGTGGGTAGAGAGGAGTCCATGATAGGGTAGGTTTAGGAAACAGCAGCTTTTGATGGGCTAAATGGCTTTTGTCATTTACATTCTTCTCATTGCAAAACAAATGGATAACCCAAGTTGAATCTAATTCAGCCAATTCTGTAGTGTAAAGGTGCTTTTTTGCTTAATTTTTATTACAGAAGTACATTTGCGAGGGCATTGGGAAGACAACGGGATTGGGTTCAAATAGAGTACATTGCTGAACGGGAGATCTCTCCAAATAATGCAAGCGGATCTTAAAAGTAATAACAAGGCAGATCTGGATGGAAGGCAGGACCTGTTAAATACTCTCCCTTTCTTTCTTTCTTTCTTTCTTTCTTTCTTTCTTTCTTTCTTTCTTTCTTTCTTTCTTTCTTTCTTTCTTTCTTTCTTTCTTTCTTTCTTTCTTTCTTTTTTTCTTTCTTTCTTTCTTTCTTTCTTTCTTTCTTTCTTTCTTTCTTTCTTTCTTTCTTTCTTTCTTTCTTTCTTTCTTTCTTTCTTTCTTTCTTTCTTTCTTCCTTTCTTCCTTTCTTACTTGCTTGCTTTCTCTCTCTCTCACAGACATACAAAGGTATTTTAAGTGCTGCAATGGATAGGTTGTATTCTGAGAGAGGCATAATTTTTAACTTTGTTCCTCTCAAACATTTCTATACTTTGTGTGACAAGACGATTAAACCCAAGTTTACGACAATTGCTGCACTATTCTGAGCTATAAAGAAAAACAAAAAAGCAATATAAAATAAGAATAATCAAAAGGTGACCTCTCTGACGAGTTCACGACTCACCAGTTATGCAATGTGCGTAAGTCAAAAATCAGCTAAAACGCATCCTGGAAGCAGAGAGCAATACGATCAGTTAACATACATAAAGTCATCTGTGTTGTGACCTTATCACAAATGCCACATGACATTGCCATCCATAGCTTCCTCCAGCTTTTGTCTGTAACAAGGTCAGTAACAACATAAAGTTTTTTTTATGGTCTGATACGCACGGAAACCTAATGCTGTGTTTTGAGTATCAAACTACTTTGAATTGTGTATATATAGGGAAATCTCCATTGATCTGAAATGTATTGTGCACTCTTGTCATAGATGGATGCACACTGTTTAGGAGACTAAAGGTAGAAAAACCAGATAGCAGTGCTAAAATGAAAGATACTCACAGTCGCACCATTTATGGCCTCAAAACACACAGTCAATCCACTTTACAGTTTGTCCTGTGAAGCACTTTGAGACATCTCAGTGACAGGATAAGGCACTATCGCAAATGCAAGGATTATTATTATGTTACTGTTGTCATAATTTCCGTGATATATCTACCCATCCACGTAGGCCTGGTAAGAAATCAGCACAATAGATACGCAGCTTGTTTGTTCCTGCTGTGGCAATACTTTTCTACCCTCATTTATATCCCATTCAAACAGAAATAGTAATTTGATCGTCTATTCAGTTCTCAACGGGATACCGAGGCAGATAATTAATTGCGGGTCTTAGAAGTCTAAATAGTGGTCCATAAAGCTGTCAGGATGATTCATGTCCTGCTGTATCATCATAGAACCAAAACCATTACATTGACTTTTCGGCCATTCACAATACAATTGTACCTATACGTAGACTCATCAAAGATGGGCTCCAAAGGTGTCTTCGGTATCCATATAAATTTGCGCATTTTATAAGAACAATTATGTGGCTGACACAGGCAGGCAGAGACAGAAGGTGTCCCATCGATAGGCCATTAGTCAATGCAGTTAGAAATGACATGTTGCAAATAGGGGATTAAAAATAGGAGGAGGTACCAGCATAGCCTCAACGGTCACCTCCTCCGCTGACATTCCTATGGTTCTGTGAAACGACAAGTCTGGACACCAGTGAGACAATTGCATTATTACTATTACTCTCCTATTTTAGGAAAATAAGCAAACCATTTCCATATTTTTTCTCGACGCATTGGCCTAATGGCTGAAACACTGGCTGGAACCTAACGCCTCATTAACAACAACTTGCATTTATATGGCCCTCCTCTCTTAAACTGGGAATGCTGCTCTGAAATATAAAGGCCACTTAACAACTGACTTGCGGGTCATTACTGTGCGCAAGCTGCCTGCTGCTTTTGCCTGCAAACTAGAGTCACTACACACGACACGAATTGCTGTGAAGCGCCTCGGGACGGCCTCCTGACCTGAAGGGACAAATCTGACACGAAAGGCAAGGATTACTTATGAAGCGGGGCCCAGGCTCAAACACTGTGCAGCACAAAACATTTCCTTCGGCAATTTTACGTTTGGTTTTGCTGCCTTTTGCGAATTATCTTCTTTAAACATGTTTACTCCCTTCAGATTTGCTTACGCCTCCACACCTTCCGCACTACCCTTGGCAAAGGGGTAACTAGGAGACTTCCTCCCACTCCTTCGTCTTCCCTTTGTCCTCTTTAAAATGGTTCCACGCCTCAGCATGCTCCTTCCCCCACAACAATTTGCAGTCATCGTCAGAACAATTGCTACCCATCAGAGCACCTCAGCGACACCATAATAATAACAACAGTAGTAGTAGTAATAATAATAATAATCCTTGCATTTGATATAGCGCCTTATCATGTCGTTGACGCCTCCCAACAAAGCTCTTCACGAAATTTATTGTAAAATGGATTGACTGGGTATTTTGTGGGCGAAACGTGGCAGCCAATCGCACACATTAGGGTCCCACAAACTATCACGCAGTGTTGCACCCTACCCCTGACCAGCCTGCCTTTGATGCGTGATGTTATTGCATCCACGGTCACTGCAACTCTAGGGAATCTGATAAAAGACTCAACAGCAGAGGAAGTAGGTTCGTATTTTCTGTTTATTTGGTTTCACAGAAACACCAGATATTTGCAATACACTAATCAAAACCACCAGCACATACTGATTCTCATCGTTGCCATATATTTATAATGTGCGTAGCTCCATGCTGACCATTTCATATACTGTACAGTACTCACAACAAAATCCTGGTCAAACAGAACCACCATACACAGAAAACACACGTCAGATACATCACACACGAATTACATAGAGACTTTTTTGTTTGATACACACATACGCGCGCGCGCGCGCACACACACGCACGCACACACACACACACACACACAGAGCAAGAGTAAAGCAGCGGACAGATAGGCAGTTTTGCAACCGCTGAACCTCAAACAAACCCGGGGTCCGCAGAACAGAAGCTGTCCTGCTCCAACAGCACTTATTTCAGCGGGAGAGAAACCACTGGAATTAGGCCTGGTCAAAGCCACAAAGACTCCCGAGTACAACTGATGGAAGACTTCAAAGTACACTATAAAAAATAAATCATTAAAAAAAAAGCTTCACAACTAACTAACGTCTCAACGTAGCACTTCCACGGGGAGGAGGAGGAGGAGGAAAGTGGAGGAGCTCTTGGTAATAGTCCGTGATACTTCGAGTGATACTCACGCTTCGGGTCCATAGTCTTGATATTCATCCTGTGGGGAATACAGAGCAAAAGAAACACGATTCAGATTGTTTTTCCCCCGTCCCATTGAGCGATCTGGGTGAAAGGGCCAAAGCCTAGTGCCACAGGATCCCACCGTGGTCCGAATGAGAGGATAAGAAATTTTGCTGTGTCCGGAATGGAATGCAAACTCTCTCTCCTCATGAGGAGGATAATCACAACACCATAGCAGCTGACACTTGGGCTGTTTTAAAAGGGACGTTGATTGCAGAAGGAAAGGAAAACCGAGGGAGCTAAGAAACTCCACGACTTGGAGTTCTAAATAAAGAATGAGAAATGGAAAAGGTTTCTCATGTGCAAAGAAACATTTCAACAGTTCGACTGGTGCCTATGGTATATCTCCCAATGCAATCTGGAAGCAGTATCGAGACTTTTTGTAACTGATGCATCTTCAGTGAGATGCAATATGTCACTGCAGATTAGTGACATATGCAACATGTCATCCTGCTGATTCGATTTCTCCTTCCCCACCTCCATCCCGTGTGTGTGTGTGTGTGTGTGTGCGTGTGTGTGTGTGTGAGGGGTGGGAGGTGGGGGGTGGGGCAGGAGCGCAGGGTGGGAGGAGAAAGAGAAGTCTAATTTGGAAGTTAGTAAATGGATCCAAACCAGCAAATTCTGCTGGCACCCAGGATGTGCTTCAAGATGCCCGCTGGAACTCTTACTGAAATACCAATCTTGTGTTTGTGACTGTTGCAAAGCTGGAATACGGTCAGAGAGAGCTTCTGGCACCCGGCAGCAGACTGGTGTCCAAGTGGACTTCTTGAGGATGTGTCCCAGACACACCTGGGTACTTGCGGCATTCGCCACTTTACAAAGCAATTTGCCAACGTGGCGAATCTGGCCCCAGTTTTGGTTTCAAAATCAGACTCGGGGTAAGGCCAATGATAAATCAGACGCTTCAAGTTCATGCCTGTGGCTCCTGGCACCATCTGGCACTCCATCATCAGAAGAGTACAGAATGTGCACAGACCACCCCGTGCGTCAATCTCTCTCTCCACACCTACCTTCGCGCTTCCTTCAACTCCCCTTCGTTCTCCAACAGTTCCTTCCTATTGACCTTACTTTGCCTTTCACCTTCCTGAACCTATTTTTTTTTAAATCCACCTTTTCCCCATTCCTCTGGTAATTTATAAATTCCGTTCAATTTAACATCTTTCTGGTTTTCATTAAATGCACCTTACGTTTCCTGCATTTCCAGTGGCCTGCCTTTTTTTTCGTTCTATCATTTCAAACTCGGTCTCAAGCTTCACTCTGTGCTGCATTGGGTTGGCAGGAGAGGTCAAGCTCTGTGAAGATCTATTTTCCTAGATTACTGGGCACCGTGTTCACCCAACAGAGCAAGCAGAAAGTTGTAAACCCACAGGCTGATTCACAAAATAATAATAATCCTTGCATTTGATATAGCGCCTTATCAAGTCTCTGAGACGTCTTAAAGCGCTTTGCAGAATATAGTGTAAAGTGAAGTGACTGTGTATTTTGTGGGTGAAATCAGTCGTGCCTATGAGCCTACTTATCTTACAATTCACTTAAATCAGTCTAATATCATCAGTCAGTTTGGCTGAAGTGTCTGAAAGCCCAGTGAAACTTGTTCGGGTGAGGTGAGATGGCCCCTCTCACAGCGGCCTTGAACTTACCTCAGTAGTTGCTTCGTAGGTCTCAGCTTCGGGATCTATTTGCAACACGTCCGTGTTGTCAATCATTCCTTCCTGAGGGAACAGATCTTCATCCTGTCAACAAGAAAGTCATCATTGGTGTTGCTGTATTCAGATTTATGTAGCGGTTCAAGAAATCAATCTTACTTGTCCCGCCTCCCCACTGTCCTAACTCTAATCCCTACATTTGATATAGCATTTCCGTTTCAGGAGGACATCTGAAAGAATACTTCAGGATACTCCACGTGATATAGTGTAAAGTGTAGTGACTGTATACTTATAGTATGTATTGAGCTATCAGACAAAAAATGGGGAACTATAGACCAGTTAGTCTGACATCGGTGGCAGGGAAAATTCTAGAGTCCTCAATTAGGGACGTTGTCATGGGGTACTTAGAAAATCCTAACATGATTAGGCAGAGTCAACATGACTTTACGAAAGGGAAATCATGTTTAACAAATCTTATAGAGTTTCTTGAGGGTGTAACTAACAGGTTAGATAGGGGGGGGATCCAGTAGATGTGGTGTATTTGGATTTCCAGAAGGCCTCTCACTAACCACTGGAAACACTCATGGGTTTGTGTTGTCGCTGACCAGCTGGCTTTCCGCACGCTTGCACAGTGAGGTTCACTGATATCATCGGCACATCATCAGTGGATCTGACTGTGTAAAATCCTGACCAGGGCTTGTACTGTTATATTGCCAGGTCTCACTTGATGGAACAAAACCAGGAGGTTATAACGGAATCCAACTGTACTGTGTAAACTCTTCATCAGTGCACTATAACAAATGCTATTGCCTTGTTATTCCAGAAAGTCAAATGAAATCAGAGCGGTCTACAACAAAGAGAACAGAAAGCCACATTTAGCATCTTAGCTTTACGGTGGCCAAAAATTGTAATGTAATAGCTCAATAGTTTGACAATTCCTTCAGAGCGTATTCTGAGATGACTCAATCTGCTGCGAAGGAACAAAGCTTTAGGTTAAATGCATTAATAAACTGCTGCAGCTCCAACTCTATTATCAATGCATCGCTAGGCAAACATGTGGGCAAGATTGATGTATCACAAACAAGCAGCAGTAAAATGTAATAAGAAAAGTGGAGCATGCAGCCCTGGAGAATAAACCCATTTTTAATGAGGATTTAAGAATGAATCTGCATTCCTATGGTAGCTTTACAACGTCTCAAAGACCTCCACAGGTAATTTATTGCATTGGCATTTTTGCAGACAAATAACGCAGCCATTTGCATCAGCGAATTCTCACAAACAGTCGGGAGGTGAATGATAAATCAATAGGGAGGATTGTTGGCCATGACACTGGGAAAACTCTTTTTGAATCTTGTCATAGGATCTTTAGCATCACGTGAGCAGGCAGACAGAGCCTCGAATTAATATCTCATCACAAAAAAAAGGATAAATCATTAATTTGTCCTCTCCTAGGGAGGGGCATGAGAGAAAGATACTACTGCTAACTCACAATCTTATCTCACAACCATATATACTGCGTAACACGTGCCTGGAAACTTCAAGCTCTTTCTTTTGGACCCAAATCTGCGGATGGTTTTACTCACTTATTGATCTGCAAGGGCCATGCGTTACCATGCCTTCACCTGGAAAATATAGTCACTGCACTTCACCATAAATCTTTGAGATGTTCCCCTGACATGAAAGATGATCCATTAAATGCAAGTATTAGGTGTTTTTATTTCCAGTGCTGGGCTGCAGTGTTAGGCTGTGATGGTATTTCAGACTATCTATTTCTTAGCAGTAGCTCTCACCCATAAAAAGCATACTTTTTGCTTTCGGTGATGTCTGTACCAGTGCGTACATCAATGTTGCACTAACTGATACCTCTGCCATTGGTGTGTTTTACTTCTGGAGCATCATCATTCCATCTGAGAGCCAGATGTTCACGAGCAGACTGTTTGGAAATTTGGAAGGATTAATAATAAGTAAAATAATAATAATAATCCTTGCATTTGATATAGCACCTTTGCCAGCTCGTCCAAATATCTCAAAGGGCTTCACTGCAAAGTGAAGTGTCTGTATTTGTAGACAAACTGGGTAGAAAGTAAAACGAATAAAAAGATAGCAAATTGAGACATTTCCCATGTATGGCTGTGTCTTACAACGTGGGTTAATATTTCAGATTTACAATGAAGTTTGAATCATCGGGAAAGCAATAACAAGATTAATGGTTGCATTTGATAATCTTTTGCAAACCTTAAAAGGCTTTCCAGGAGGCCCACCGCTGACCTTCCCCATCCCGCTCTTCCCAGTTTGGGATTTGACAAATCACAGCAACACGAGTTTAGATTCACCTGGCATTTCTGACAGTTCGGAATTTGACGCATTCTTAAATGCGACCTTCATTTTGAAGCCGGTTTCCTGTAAGTTTATTTTAAGAACTTCAGAACACAAGCTTGAAAGTTGCGCATCAACAATTTAAAATTTTGGAAAGCCAGGTCAATTTGGACCACGGTGGCATTTCTCCCTCTCTACATGCCATTGCGAAATGTGCCCAACACAGTGTAAATCAGGTGCATCTTTTCCTCCCAGTGAATTATGCTGCAAAAGGTAGTCGGTAGACAGAGGAACAACTGTGGCTGGCAGGCTTCCATCAAATTGTATGTCCCTGGTTTGAAACGACCAAGGCCAGTAATGTAGAAGGCCAGTAATGTAGTTGGCAAGATTTCAGCTAATCGATGCTTTAGCACAGTTGGCGTGCTGCCTGGTGATGGCAGCAGGTTTCACAGTATCATTACTGGCAGATCAAGTGCAAATCTGTGCTGAACTTCTGTCAACTGCATCAACGATGCATCAATAGATTGGGCTTCACTATTTGAAGTCCTATTAATTATCCGGTTATGCACTTTAGAGTTAAAATCCCAATAACTCGCCCTATCCCGGTGACGAGTCCAAAATTTGTGTTAAAGCTGGAAACGGTTATAGGCCGTCTTTCGGTTTGGTTTGCCAGTGTTAGTAAGCGTGTGTTCTCCAGATCTACCTGAACAGGTAAGCGGGACGTTGGTTTAACTTCTCATCTAAAAATGGCACCTTTGCCAACGCAGCACTCTATGAGCATTGCATTGGAGCGTTAGCCAAGACTGTGAGCTCAAATTCCTGACTTGCAGGAGATTGAACTCACAACCTCCTGACTTTGAGGTGAGAGTGCTGCCAACTCAGCCAGGTTGACACCTGCATTCCTTCCAAATGGCATCCGTGTGCCTTCCAAACTTCAAAACATTCCCGTCTCTGTTCATTTCTTTTTGAACTCCAGGAAAAATACAAGGAAAATGACAAACTCTATTTACTGTGCGTTTTAAGCGCATTGGTGTCCACTCTCCCCTGCCCCCTCCAAAGAGAGGATTAGTAGGTATTTGAGAGGTAATGAAGAAGAGCGTCTACATTTTCACAGAAGCAGCCGAGATGAAATGAGAAAGCCCTGAGGTAGCAGCCATTATCGCACAGAGCAGCACCAGATTCGTCTCTCTTCCCCGGGAAATAACCAAACATAAAATAAAATAGAATGTATTTGTTCTTGTGATCGTTGCTGGGAGAACGGGCACAATAATGGGCGAGGATGGAAAGGGTCTGCCACAATACTTTGCCGTGAGCAGCTTGAGCCCTGCTCCTGCTGAGCACATAGCCATGGCAACAGACTTGTAAGGAGACAAATCTCTGAGCCGTGGCAGGGACCAAGCCAACTGCATACTCAACAGGACGACATGGAGAAAGGTAAATAACTAATGGTTCAGTTCCAAAGACTGACCTCTTTTTGAGCTGACTGCCCCTTAATCGATGTGCGCACAGATTCTTCGGCACAGCCGAGGAATGGATAAAAACCCCCCATGCTCAACATTGGTGGGAAGCATTGGCATTAACGGAGTTAACGGTATTAATGAGTGAAGCTTCAGTGGCAGGAAAGTGACCGAGTGTCACTACATTTATATATTACGGATGTTGCATTTTTCTACACAAGACATAAAAACAATTAAAGGAAAAGTATGTTTGTGTTATATCCCCTGTAATTTTGAATTCCATCCATAAAGAGATTCTCCTTCAATTACCAGCATCGCAAACTTCCTGCACGCTTCAAGGTCGATGATCCGAGACAGATGCAATGTGAGCAGATGCTTTGTGTAGAACCTTGATGATGACATTAGGGTCAATTAACTTCTGATCACTAAAAGCAACAATATTGTCGCTCTGTCTTTATAATGAGAAGCTCATGTTTTATCTATCAATGTATAATAGAACCCATTGTGAAGGCCTGCTCCACTGGCACATGAATTGGGAAGATGTCCAAAAAAGCGAGATTACTTGTAAATTTAGACAAGGTAGGTGCATTCTGCACACCTCTCTTCAACGGAAAACACATTTGCTCAAAACTAAGAGAAGTCTGTTATAAAGCAGACGTGAAAAGCAAGAGGGTCAGCGATCATAATTCAGAAATCTGATATTCCAACACTATCTTAAATGTGCAAATATGTTAATTGGTACCATATTGAGCTCCGGTGCCTCACTGAACGGCTAATCTTCATTTATGAGCTTGGAAAAAGTGTAGTTAGCAAGGTGGGCAGAAGCAAAGAGATCACAGGAGAAATAGTGATCGTACCTCCTCATCCAACATCCATGCTTGGATCGATTTTCCAGTAGGGGTCACTGGATAGTAAACAGAAGGAAATTGGGGCTCTTTATTCTGGGCTGCAAAACAAAGGAAAGTAGGAACATAGAAGAGAGTGAGGTGAATTTGAATGGTCCTTCTCCCACCAAATCCAGATCACAAGAGAGATTCAGTTGAAGAAGGGGCTTTAGCCCATTAAGTGCTCCACGATACTACCCCGCATGAAGGGTGCTGTATGAGTGCAAGCTGTTGTTATTGTTGATCCGATTCTTCCATCAAACCCACTCTATCAATTTCCCATTACAGCATCAAGCTCTTTCTTAAATGCTGTTTTACGTCAGTTGTGTCCTGGGCTGTATTCCCGCTAACCCATTCCAATCATTAACTGCTCTTTGGTTAAAGAGATAGTTCCTGTGGATGTCGAAAACTTGCCCTTCATAACTCTTAA